CAGAGATATGGACATAACATGAAATTTCGCCCTTTTCTTTGTTTAAAAACAGTCGAAGTATGAGTATTAACATTGTACCATGCTTTTTCATCATTGTTAGCGATTCAAAAGAAAAAAAAAAAGTAGCCTACCAAGCTCTTTAGAATAAATGCCTGTCGCCCTATATCAAAACTATTATATTATTAACAAAATCATTCAATTTGTTCAATTTGACATTCTTGGTGGAAATTTCCTCAAATCAGCCAAACTATAGGACAACGTGCATGCATGCATATTTCAAAATGCTGCTGCTGCTGCTGCTGTTGCTGCTGCTAATGATGATGATGGTAATGATAGTGATGATGATGATAGTTATGATAAAAAGATTATGATGATACCAGTGGTGGTGAAGATAATGGTAATTTGAAAAAAAAGAAGTGAACTAATATTATTTGAATTAATCTTTATACTCATAACAACATTCAATTAAAAAATACTAAAACACCTACCACAACAAGAAGACAACGTGATGAGACACAAAACACTATCATGCAAAGTGATGAAAATTTGTGCAAAATGCAATGAAATGGTAATGATAATAATAAATAAAAATCATTGTGGCAAACAAACAAATTAATGATCAAAACAATTGTGCTGTACAGTATCAGATCAGTTCACGAAGCGGAAGAAGCATCATGAGCCAAAACAAAATAAAACGAAACAAAACAAATAAAAACAAAAAGGTAAGCTCCAATCCATTAAGCTACTGGGAAGTTTATATTGACTCTGCGAGATTCTCAGCCTGCGATCTTCTTACTTTTCTCTTCTCTTCTCTTCTCTCACACAAGGACGGCTACTCTACCCCAGACGTTGTTCTTGTTCAAGGGAGGTTATTCCTAGTGAAAGTCGTATGCCATGATAAATAAGAAATAGAATAATGTAGTACTCTTTTCTTACTTGATTAAATGACTCTTTAATTGATAGTTTGAAGGACAGGGTTGGGATTTGGGAAGCTGCCATGTCGATAGACATTGAGTCTGTTTTCTTTGCAGCTTTCTAAATATCTCTAGAGGCCAATGAGAACAAAAGGGGAAGGGGGAAGCAGGGTGGGAGAAAGTTGGGAGAAAAGGGTGGGGGATAGAGGGAAAAAGGGGTGAGGGTGGGTGGAAAGTGGGAGGAAGTAGAAAACACAGTAGGGAGAGGATATTGGGTTGTTGAAAAAAGGTAGGCGGGAATAGGGGTACATAGGGTCAACGCTGTATGCAGGAGATTGGTTGCAATGTAAAAGCTCTTTGAAGACTTGTTCTTTTTTGACCGAAGCCATAGACTAGAGAATCCTAAAGTTTCCAATTTTCATGTTAATCAAAAGCAAAGAGAGGGAACTGAATAAACAACAGGATTGTATGTACGTTAGTTTAGCCAAATTTTAAAACCTTATCTTTTTGAAAAATTAAAAGAAGACAAACTGAAAATCATTAAGGCAGCCCTGGTTAACTTGAATAAATCTCTAAATATAACTTGAAAGAAAAAAGAAAACATTTACCAGGACTGGTGCGTTGGTAAACACAAGTTCTTTCCTTTTGGTACGAATGCAGTGCGATGTGCAAAGTATATATATAGGATAAGTCACTGAGTGCATGTTGGTGCTGGCTAAATGAAACGGTTAGTTCAGTATGTGGGTTAAGGTGCGTATCGAAATGTGAAGGAACCTTTGTGTACATCTGTAGTTCAGGAATGAATTTGTACTCTCTTTCTTACACATATATGTACTTAATAATAATAATATATCAGCCTCCGTAGTGAATTGCATTTAGCTCTATATTTCAGCATGATATTAGTATAAAATAGATATAGAAAACATTTTGTGTGTAGGATAAAATCTTTAACAAAAACTTTTGTAATGTAACTGCAGGTCTGTTAATTACACAACACCCACACATATAGCGTTCATGAATCTGTTTTCATAAACACCCCAATGACTATGACGGTGATTGTTACTATAACATTGTAGCACCAATGGGTATAGGCACTTACTGATCTATGATGAGAAAAACAGAGTTGTTAGAAAATCTGATAGCTATGCTTCTGTTACTCATTGCAGTTGTGGAGAGCGTTACAGTAGGTAATAATAGTACATGTATAATGTAAAAGAAATAGCAGTTATAAAGCTGTTAACCTTCCATTTGTTAGGTTAGATTAATTTTTTAAATGTTGATACTCAAACGAATATGTAGTATATCTCATGGAGGCTGTGTTGCCAACAACAGCAAGGGTGGCTGATGGGCACAGTGATGTGATTTGCTTTTTCTGTCACTGTTAATATTTGTCCTTTGTTACCTTCCATCATTTTATGTTTGTTACTCTCTTGTAATTCCCATCTTTGGGTGTTATATGACCTAATGATTTATATATTCTATGATTCAAATTAAATCTTATATCGAAAGACAGCGCTCCATCTGGGAGCAAGATAATATGATGGAAGCTGGTCTTGAGTTCTTTAAGTGCCAGATCATGGTTTGTCATTCAGCTCTAATGCTCGCAAAACCATTCATCATCCTGTTTTTTCTTGTCACCCATTTGCTCAGATTCTCAAAGTAAGTTATTCTTGGTCTGCATCTTTTTCCTTCTTTTCTTCAGTGACTACAAAACCTCCTTTTTGAGCGTTATAACACTTGAAGTCTGATACCTAACATATATGAACAGGGTTATTCTGCTAAGTTCTGAGAGCAAGATGTTCAAGTCCTTGATTCAAGTACCCTGGGAACTTTATAAATTTGTCTCATCCTACTTGATAAATTCGGTTGCTTTCGTTACTTAAAGAAAGAGTTTGATAAGTGGACTATCAACACTGACTGGAAGCCAAAATGGCAATAATAACATTTAACTGTCATATGTATTTTAAATTGTGATAAAAGTAAATTATGCGCCTATCAATAGCAGCTTAGAAAATGTTACCATAGACAACGCACAGTTTGAAAGTTTAACAGTTAACTTTCCGTTTGAAAAAAAAAGCTACATCTTTAACAAAACTCTCAATAATCAATACAATATGATGAACGCTTCCACTCTTCATGAATATGGCGAGTCGCCGAACTGTAGAAGTATAATATGTATCAGTGTAGCCTCACTCCCAAACTTATACAAGGGTAATTAACTTTCTAAATAGAGTGAGATAAACCGTCAGATGGTTAGGTACTAGGTTAGATTGTTCACTACTGACTAAGAAAAACGTGGTATTTAAATTCCCCTCCATTATTTACAGCATCAGTACTGCATACAAGTTTTCTAGTTTTGGAAAATGAGGATGAGTTTAGGGATTAGGAAGTCTGGGGATGAGATTAGGGGTAAAACAAAGTGGGCAGAGCGGGGCAGGTTGGAGATTGCACTGACAAGAATATTATATTGCTGGTGGAACGGTAGGGGGG